CCCTGCCAGGGCCTAAAGGGGCTCCAGGAGAGCTGGAGAGGGACTGGGGACAAGGGATGGAGGGACAGGACACAGGGAATGGCTCCCACTGCCAGAGGGCAGGGCTGGATGGGATATTGGGAAGGAATTGTTCCCTGGCAGGGTGGGCAGGCCCTGGCACAGGGTGCCCAGAGCAGCTGTGGCTGCCCCTGGATCCCTGGCAGTGCCCAAGGCCGGGTTGGACGGGGTTTGGAGCAGCCTGGGACAGTGGGAGGTGCCCCTGTCCATGGCAGAGGGTAGAATGAGATGGGCTTCGAGATCTCTTCCAACTCAAACCACTCTGGGATTCTATGAAATACTCCAGACAGAACAGGAGAGACCAAGCTAGTGCAGCTGCATGTGTGCAGGAGTTTTGGATGTGATCCCAGCATCAGCACAGAGGAGACTCCTCTGCTGTGCACCTACAGGACAGGAAGGATTGGGAGCAGCACACAGGTGACAGAATCAGAGCCCACAAGAAGGGCTCCAGGCTGTGGACATCCCTCAGGGCACTGAACAGCAACCAGTGTCCTGCTGCCCTCCTGGCTCACCTCCAGAGCACCAGCACCCAGCTCCTCACTGGCACTGCCTATTCCAGCCTGTCCTTCTCTGGCCTTGGATGGGACTGGATGGACTGGAATTTCTCAGAGAAGAAGCCCAGGCTGTCCAGACAGGTATAAATAAAATGCTGTAGCGCTGCACTGAAGTGAGAACTAACATAAACCTCTGCTTCAAAGTGCAAGTGTTTCCCTGGGCTGTGGACTCTGAGTGTTTCTTTCCAGGAAATCTTTCATAGACTCGATGAGAATGGAAAAGCCAAATGCAAGGAAAGGCAAGGTTTGAGCTGCTCCCTCTGAGGAAGCATCACCTGTCCTGGGGTTAGAGATACATCCCTGGAGACCTTCTGTTGTACTCAGCTACTCCCAGTTTTCAGAGCACCCCTCTCTGTATCAGAGCTTTGCTTCAGGGTGGAGCAATGGCACTTTGCAATGGGTCCTCATCTGTTCCATGTTCCCTTGCTGTGGAGCACTTTGTGTAGCTCTGGCTCTGACATCTGTACCCCCTGTGTCCAGCAAAAGGTGCTTCAGGAAATATTCTGGCTCTACCAACCCCTCTTTATCCTGAGAAGTGAAATATTTCCAGCAGGATCAGTAGTCCAGGATGAAAGTAGACAGGTCTGCACCTGTGCAGAGCCCACTCTGTGAGAAGCACCAACACTCCAGGCTGTGCCAGTGCTATGCTGGTGAAAAACCACAGCTGAACTGAAATGTGAAAATCCTCCCCAAACAAGCAAAAAGGTGCAAAAAGAGCCTGAGAAGGAAGGCAGTGCCAACTGCAGAAGTTGCTGAGTGTGATGAAAGGAGACAAAAAGCCTTTGTCTGCACTGCACAGTGTTGGATGGCCACCTTATCTGCACCTACATGCTCTGGGGTCTCTTACATAACTACAGGATCTGCAATGTTCTATCCAGCAGGAGCAAAAATAGAGCTCTGCCTCCGCCTGAAATTCCTGCAGTGGGGGCGAGCAGGGGAACAGCCCCTCCCAGCCTCCCCTGCCACTCTGGGGTCCTCCACACTGAACCTTCCCACTGAAATTAGAAGGTGTTTGGTGCCAGAAGGTACTTGGCCATTCAGGCTCCCTGTGAAGGGTTCAAAAAGTGATCACTGGGCTTTCCAAACAAGGCAGCAAATTTGTTCAGCCCTTCCAGATGTGCAGCTGCTGCCTGTGGCACCATTCCATGCACACATCTGGGATGGGAATGCTGAGCACCCAAGTGAAAGCTCTGCAGGAAGGATCTGTAGTCTCTTTCTTGCTTACTGCAGCTTCCTGTGCTCACCCTAGCTACACACCTGCCTAAAACTGTGCCTAAAAGACTGGCTCAGGAACAATCTGCCTGGGAATCAGGCCCAGCTCCATTTCCTAAGCCACCTGGAAAACAGTAATCCACATTTCTGGGAATCCTAGAGAGGGAAGTCAAAGACTTCTCCCCACAGCACAGCATTATCAGAGAAGATGAGAAGGGCTCACCCAAGCAGAGAGTGTTTGACATGTTTCTCCTCCAAATTCTGCTGCAGGGAACTGCCTGAGGCTCCAAAGAACATTTACAGTCCAAGGAAATGAAAACCTTCACCCAAGTGCCTGCACCAGGATCTTTGAGAAGACCTGTGGAGAATGACAGAACAGCCCTGGTATGAGAAAATGAGGTGTTTCATCAGCATTGAGAAACAACAGAAATAAAACAAGTGTGAAATGAGGGATGTTGCCTGTGTGGAAGTCTGGCTGCCTGCAGCACACATGAGTGCTGGCTGGGCTGGGGACTGAGCTGCTGACTTCATCACTGACACCTCTGCAGGAACCTTGAAAAGGGTCCTAGAATAAATCTTAGTAAATTGACAGAAACATCACTATTTTTGAACTAGCCTTCTGTGAAGGAAGACTGAGATCAGCCATCTGGCTGGAGTTAGGAAGCTGAGTTTTCACCACCACACTCCTTCAGCCCCACTGCCACTCCTGTGTGGAAGAGGTTTTACAGTGACTTTGGTAAGCCAGAGAGAAGTTTGATTAGAGGATCCATGTTTACCCCTGCAAGAATTTCCTACCAAGGTCATTGACACAGAAACCACCAAAGAAAGAAGGATAAATAAGAGAAACCTGCAACTTACTATTCCAATGAGCACTTTGTTTGTCTTTCCTGACCAATGAGTAAAGTGTAAACTTTTGAGTCTTGTGAGGATGTATAAAAATCATGCATACTAAAATAAAAGCGGGTTTTGAAGCCTTCTGAAAATGGAGTGTTGCTTTGTATTGTCTCAATTACGATGCTCCCACACCAGGACACACACAGGTTGGACACACACAGCTGTCACCGGCAGCACATGGAGAATGTGGTTCATTAGTGGCTCTGTGAGCAGCTAAATGAGAGCTGACAGCATCTCTTAGGCACCTTCCTCAGAGTCCTCTGCAACCTTTCCAGACCTGTGAGAGCTGTTTCCCTGCACTTGATAATCCAGATGGGATTTGTTTGAGATGTTCCAACAAAATAGCCCGGCAGTCCCTAAGAACACGAGGGGAGGGCTGACAACGCTGCTTGTGCACCTGGAAATCGCAGCCTTGTTCCAGGGCAGCCCCGGCGGGCCGGGACGGCCCCGGGCTGCGGGGGGCTGGGAGCTGCTCCGCGCTGCCTGCGCTCCCTCTGCCGGCACCAGGGCTCCGGGAGCAGCCTCTGGGAACATCCCCTGGCACTGCCCTCGCCTCCCGAGCAGTGCCCGCGGCTCCGCAGCGGGCAGAGGTCATGCACAGAGGATGTTCCACCGCCACCGAAACAACCAGCGCAGCGCGACTCTGTGGAGCGGACGGGCTCAGCTTTCCTCGGGCAAAGCCACGCTCTGGGCCTCCAGGCTGCAGCCACTAATTGTTTATGAGTACAAACGCAGGAATAATTTACTCAAAACGATGTTGGATAAAGCAGCTGGATCCCTGCTGTTTGGAGACGGACCCCTGCGTGTCCCAGCCAAGAGCTGAACCGAGGAGAAGGAGCAGAACAGCGTCTCTGAACATGAGAAGCGGGATGGAAGCAGACCCAGCACCAGCCCTCCACAGGGCAGCTGGGCGCAGGTATTTCATGGGCTGGTGTTTCCAGAGGCTGCTTTTGGAGGGAGCTGAACTAAGAGGTGAATTCCTGAGAGCAGAAATGGAGCCCTGGAGCGCAGTCCATGCCCTTCCCAAGCCCCTGAGGCTGAGGTGGCGTTAAGAGCCGGGCTTACAGCCCAGAACGAAGGCAGCAGCGTGTGCCCCGCACGGAGGAGCTCCCCAGCCCGGCGGGGCTGCAGCTCTGCCCGGGGCAGCGCAGGGCTCCCCTTCCTGGGCTCGGTACCGCAGCAGCTGCCCCGTGACCGGACTGCTCCAGCCACGGCCAGCGTGCAGGGACAGCGCAGGGAGAAGCCTGATAAGCAGCCGGGAGGCTGTGGCCGGGCCGGCGGCGCAGGGGGGCTCCGAGGCGGCAGGGAGGCCGCACACCCCGCCCCGGCGGAGCGCGGCCGCCCGCGGCCATGGGAACGCCGTCCCGCTGTCCCGTGTCGCGGCGCGATGTTCCGCGGGGGCGGTGACAGCGCGGGGCAGCACGGCCCCTTTCAGAGCCGCCATGATCTGCCTGGTGCTGGGGCTCTTCGCCGGCCTCTTCCACGGTGGTACGGGACGGGACGGGACCCCCGGGCCGGCTCTGAGGGATCCCCCTTGTGCCTGAGGGCCTCCCTTCCCCGGAGAGACCCCGCGGCTGAAGGGCCGGGCCGGGCCGGGCCCCCGTGCCCTGCGCGGCCGGACCGCCCTGCGCTCCCTGCGGGAGCCTGGGCCCGCCCTGAGCCCCGCCACCCCCGTGCCGCTCGCCTGCAGGCCCGGGGGCGTCCCCTTCCCCGCTCAGAGCTCTGCCCTGTCCCTGCAGCCTTCGGCGGGGTCCATGAACGAACCTTCGTGGCCATCAAGCCGGACGGGGTCCAGCGGCGCCTGGTCGGGGAGATCATCCGGCGCTTCGAGAGGAAGGGGCTGCAGCTGGTGGGGATGAAGCTGCTGCAGGTGAGCGGCTGGGCCCGCCCAGGCTGGGGGGCCCTGCAGTCGGGGAGCCCCTGCAGCCCCCCGAGCCTCGGCTGCGCTGCTAACTGCTGGGGGTTCTGCCTGTCATCCGGCCCCTGCAACCTGCTGCTGTCATTCCAGCGGCAAATCCCCGCAGCTCAGGGGAGAGCTGGCACTGGGAGGGGCGATTCCAGCTGTGGGGAGCATGTCTGCCCTTGCTGTGCTGTACTCCAGGGCTGTCACTGTAAGCTGGCAGCTGGAAACTCCTCTCTGTGTCAGGCTCCTGCTGTTTCACTCCCGGAACTGAGCATCTGTGCAAGAGCTTCATTCTCTCCATTTCCTGCATCCCTGAGGTGCAGCCCTTGCCCAGATGCCCCGTGTGGGAGCAGACTAAGCTCTGTGCTCTGTGCAGGCCTCGGAGGAGCTGCTGAAGGAACACTACATCTCCCTGCGGGACCGTCCCTTCTATGGCCGCCTGGTGAAGTACATGAGCTCCGGGCCCATCGTGGCCATGGTGAGTGCTGGCCGGGGCCCTGGGCCAAGGAACAGGGACAAAGTGCGAGGTGTGAGCAGCAGTGCCTGTTAGCACAGTGGAAGTAATGTGATATCCCCCCTCAGAGGGTCTCTTGAAGCTGTACTGAACTGCAGGGATGTTTTCTGTTGTAAATTAAATCATAGAACAGTTTGGGTTGGAAGGGACCTTAAAGGTCTCGTTCCACCCCTGCCATGGCAGGGGCACCTTCCACTAGACCAAGGTTGCTCTAAGCCCCATCCAGCCTGGCCTTGAGCGCTTCCAGGGATAGGGAGAAATCCACAGACCATTTGGATTATTTTCCAAAATCAACTTTGTAAGAATAATTCGGAGAGCCCCTTTGCTGTCAGCCACGTGGATCTGGTGGGGAATTCAGAGGGCAGATGTGACCTGCTGGGGCAGCTGTGGAAGTTGATCCTGGTTTTGCTCTCCTGTAGGTCTGGCAGGGCCTGGATGTGGTGAAGACAGTTCGCACCATGATCGGGGAGACCAATCCAGCTGAATCCAAGCCTGGCACCATCCGAGGAGACTTCTGTGTTGAAGTCAGCAAGTGAGAGCTTTGACTTCTTCTTCCTTCAGTGTTTCAGGGCATCCTGTCCAGGCCTGCCTGAGCCACATGAGTCTGCATTCCCAGAGCAGAAGTTCTCCCTTTTGTGCTCAGACCAGAGCTGAGCTCTGCTTTCCAGGGTTGGCTTTAATAGGAAGAAGAGCCTGGGTTGTGTCTTTCCTTCCTCCTGAGTCCTCTGTTGAAAGCAGGAGGGCTTTGCCTGTTTTCCTCTGGTAATTGGGACTGTCAGGCTGTGAATAGGAATGGGAGCTCCCACTCAGTCCTTTCGTGGGAGCAGGTGAATATGCACGGGTGGTGACCTTGGGTGGCCCCAGCCTGGCTTGTGGTAGACACAGCTCTTACTGAACCATCCTGGCTTAGATCTGTTTCCTGGTGCCTGATACAAAACCTGCTTTGATGGAAGGGGGAAAATCTGAAGGCACAGATGGAATCACTGACATAAAAAATGTACATCCCAGAGCTACAGCCACTTGCAGCTCCTCCTGTAGCAAACAGAAGGTTCCTCAGCATAGGAGGGGCAAGTGCTGGGAACTGGCACTGCTGGAAGGATGAATGGTGTGGGATAGGAGGGGATATTGTGGGACAGGACTGGCTCCATTGCTTTACTAAAATTGGTCAAGGAGGAATTTTGCAGGTTGCAGCATCCCTCTCCCACCTTTCTCCCTCTCTCCTTGCCCACAGGAACGTGATCCATGGCAGTGACTCGGTGGAGAGTGCCCAGCAGGAGATCTCGCTCTGGTTCCGCCCCGAGGAGCTGCCGTGCTGGGAGGACACGGCTGCACACTGGATCTACGAGTGAGCAGCAATCCCAAGGGAAGTTATCTTCCTGCTGGGACACAGCACACTTCCATCCATTTCATGGCAGCTGCTGGAGCTGGCTGCAGATCCTCTGTGGGATTCCTCTTGTGTCTGTGGGATCCTGGCAGCTGGGCTGTGTGTGGAACTCTGGTTCAGCTCCTGCCAAGGGGAGCTCTTCCTTTTTTTCTCTCTTTGCTCTAGTAATTAGTTGGTATTTTTGCTTTGTTTGCTGCAGCATCTTAAATCCCAGGTAGCTCAAGCTGATTAATTGTAGCAAAACTTGGGCTCTTGGCCCATTCCTGGGTGTTCTCATCCCTGCCTGGAGCAGGAGAATGCGTTTTCCTTGCTGCTGGGAGAGCTGCTGGTCACGAGGTGATGGGCTTGGCAATTTACCTGCATTTCCAGAAGGCTTTTCACCAAAGGCTCTTAAAGAATTGGGCTGCTGTAGGAGAAGGGAGCAAATTCTCATTTTGGAGTTTATTCCAAGACAAGGAATGCAGGATGGGACAATTCTCTCTCCCTTGGTGGGAGTCCTGTGTGTTGGGACTGGCAAAAGCTCACCCAGTTTCAGACGTATTGAGTGAGTCCGTGGAAGGAAGATTCTCCAAATGCTGCTAACACACAATTCCTCAGGCTCTGCTTCCTGGGCTGTGGCTGCTGGGAGTGGGAAGCAGCTCCTTCAGGCCTGCTCTGGTTCTCTGGGGCTGTGTGGCCCTGACCCAGCCTGACACCAGACTGTCCCTGCATGGTCACTGATGTGAGGCAGCAGCACTGGGGCAGCCACAGGAATAGAAGGGGGAGAGGGAGGCAGGGAAGGATTTGTGGATCTGGGGCTCGGGAAGGACTGTTTAGGGGAGCATTTATTTCTCTCTTGTGCACAGCACAGGCTGTGGAGTCCTGGCACTGAGCTCTGGCAGGTCTTGAGATCTTCCTTGTCCCCCTGAGAGCTTGCAGAGGAGCTTTTCTGCTGGTAGGGTATCTGGACACCAGTTTGTAATGGGCTGGACACCACCTGTGAGCTGTCCCTGGGCCACCCAGCTCCTCAGAGTTGTGCTGTGTCTGGGCTCCCTGTGCAGCCTCACCAGAGCAAAAGGACAGGGACAGTGACATGGAGTCCTGCCATGGAACAGGGACACAGATGAACTGAGGGAACAAGATCCCCAGGGCATTCCTGTGTGCAGGATGAGTTTGACCTGTGCCCTAAAAGCCTGTCCCTGTGGGTCCTCAGCTTTGCAGGTGCTGGGGAATGAGGGCAGCTCTTAGGGAGCAAAGTCACCACCCCCTCCTGTTCTGTGCTGGTCCCAGGGTGGTGGGGCTGAGCAGGGCAGGGCTGGGAGGTCTCCCTCCAGTGAGTGGGGCTGTCCAGCTGCCTCAGCCAAGTCTTTTCCTGCCTTGGGGCCTTCTCCAAGCACCTGTGTCCAGTTCTAAATACCTGACAGATCCCATTTGTTCCTGGAACTGTCCACCTGGCTGAATATGGAGTCTGGCTGCAGCAGGGCTGCAGGAGAAGGCGCTGGTGAAGACCGAGGCGTGAAGCCAGTGGGAGGAAGGCCATGTTTGTTGTTTAACAGATGCATTGGGAAGAGCTGTTTGCACCAAGAACTGCCAGCTCTGACACAGGAAAACTCTGCTGAGCTTCATCTCCTGCCGTTGCCTCTTCCTGAATGATCCCTGTGATCCCTGTCTACACAGACAGGATTTAAGATGCCTCCCAGTTTGAAAGTGCACTGAACTCCAGTCAGACAACAGACCTGACTCATGGAGACACAGTCCCAGGCCAGTCCTCTCCTCTCTGTGTGTGTAGGTTTGGTGTCTGCTATGACCCCGTCCCACTCTGGGGCAGCAGCTGCAGGGAAAGGGCCCCCAGAGACACTGCTGGGAGCAGGTACAGCAGCTGAGCTGTGGGGGTCTTCCTCCAGCCCCTGGGGACTTTTAATTGCTTTGCATGTTGTTTTCTGCTGCCTCTCCTCTGTCCAAGCCTGTGTTAAACTGTAATAATAAATGTAGAAGCTGTCTGTTGTTCCTCTTGGGGCCCTTGAAGGCAGGAGGCTGCAGGTGCTTGTCAGAAATAGGCTGGGCAGCAGCGTGGAGGGGAGGTTTTGGGTGCAGCACTTGTGTCAGAGCTGGAGGAGGTGAAGGCAGCAGAGATGCCCTTGTTTCTGCCCTGTGCAGGGCTCTTGTGTTTCCCACAAGCAGAAACCTGGCTGGGGTGATGTTCAGTGGAGCCAGGCTGATGCTCCAGCACCACACGCTCATAGCAGCAGGAACAGCAGGGTTTGTGCTCCTGCAGGACTCACAAAATTCAGAATAGTCGGGGCTGGAAAGGATCTCTGGAGATCATTCAGTTCCCTGTCAGAGCAGAGTCACATGGAGCAGCCATTACAAGAATATGTCCAGGTGGGTTTGGAATATCTCCAGAGCAGGAAACTCCACACCCTCCCTGGGCACCTGCTCCCGTGCTTTGCCATCCTCAGGGTAAAGAAATTCTTCCTCATGTTGAGGGGGGACTTCTTGTGTTTTAGTTTCTGGCTGTTGTTCCTCCTCCTGTTGCTAAAAACATTGAAGAGCACCAGCCCTCGAACAGAGCCCTTTGTATACAGCCCCACTGGTGACTGTCCTTTTTCCCTGCCCTGGAAAATCTAGTTCCATGGGATTAATGGGATTTTCTCCCCCTTTTCCCTGGATTTGGAGGGGTCTGCTTTCATTCCATCCCCATCCCAGCTTTGCTGCCATATGCAGTCACCCAAATCAGGGGATTTTTTGATCTTCCTGCACATCTGGATGTCCCAGCCCCTTCCCCAGCATCCCTGGAAATTCCAGGAAAATCGGGCTGGATACAGGGAAAGCCATTTGGGGCCATTCCCGATGTGACCCCATTTATTTAAATCCTTTGAGTTTGACCTGGCACTGCCTGCTAACCCCAAAGGGTGGAGTCCCTCACTGTGTGAGGGACAGTTTATCCAAGAGTGTTAGAGATGGTAGCAAAAGCTTTGCTGAAACCCCAAAACCACCACATCTACCATCCTCCCTTGGTCAGCACAAAGATGACTGACACAGCTGGCAGGAGGGGCTGATACCTCGAGGGTTGTGTGGCCCTTCAGAGGGACCTCAACAATGGCAGAGGGGCAGAGAGGAACCTTCTGGAATCCAGCACAGGCAGAGCAGGGTCCTGCATCTGGAGAGGAACAGCCCCAGGCACCAGGCTGGGCTGGGGCTGCAGCTCTGTGGAGAAGAGGGTGACACCGACTTGTTCTGGCCAGCCCAGGGGCCAAGGGGGGTTCCTGGGGGTGTGAGGGAGGGGAGGGGATCCTGCCTCTCTGCCCAGCCTGTGAGGCACACCTGGAGTGCTGTGTCATGACAGGAGGGACATGGAGCTCCTGGAGCTGGTCTGGTGGAGGCTGTGAGGATGCTGAAGGGTCTGGAGCATCTCCCTGTGAGGAAAGGCTGAGGGAGCTGGGGCTGCTCAGCCCTGGTGTCCCTGTCTGTCCCTGTGTGCAGGGAGGGGCCGGGCAGAGCCAGGCTCTGCTCCAGGGCCCAGCAATGGCACCAGAGCCACGGGTAGTGACCGAGTCCAAGAAGTCACAAATGAACACAACAAAAAGCTTCCTTGGACACTGGAACAGGCTGCCCAGAGAGGGAGTGGAGTGTCTGTTACTGGAGATACTCCAGAACTGTCTGGACACAGCCCTGTGCTGACCCTGCCTGAGCAGGCAGGGGGGACCAGATGAGCCACTGTGGGTCCTTCCAGCCTGAACCATTCTGTGGCTCTGGGGAGTCAGTGCCTGAGCTTCTCACAATGGGGAATTAAGCAGATGAAGCAGGACCTTCCCCAGTGAGCCCACACTGGCTGCGTTGTCTCTCAAGGGGTTTTCAGCAACTCCCTAAATAACCTCCAGGATTTCAGCAGACACTGAAGTGGGATTGACAGGCTTGTAGGATGTAGGGTCTTCTTCCTTAACTCTGCTTGAGAACTGGGACATTTAGCACCTTCCACTTAACAGAGACCTGTCCAGAGTCCCCAAACCCAAAAATAACGGCGAGGTCCCAGGATGACATCGGTCAGCTCTGTCAGTGCCTGGGATGGTTCCATCGTGTCCAGCTGGGGTGGCCAGACCTGAACAGGTCCAGGGTCTGCGAGGAGTTTGTCATCTCCAGCCGAGGTCTTCCAGCACAGGCCTGCAGCCTTATCCACACGAGCCACTGTTTAGATATATTACATTACTCTGTTGCCCGTTATACACATTCCCTACGTTGCATTTCATTCTGTGGAAGAAATACAGCTTGTTTAATGACACGAGAGGCAGGACGGACGCAGCTTCCTGGAGGCTTTAGGCCACCGCTTCCTCTGCGGCTCCACCAAACGCCGCTGGGTGAGTGAAGCGGCCGCGGGCAGCCTCCCCGGGCGCTCCCCGCCGCACCCCCGCCGCTCCCTCAGGGGCCGCCGCCATCTTGCCGTCGCTCCCGCCGCCGCGCGCGGGCCGCCGGGACGGGGCGGTGCCGGCGGCGGGGATTGGTCCGCTGCGATCACGTGGTGAGGGGAAGCCGTCCGCGAGCCTTTCCCGCGAGGTGTGGCCGCGGCGGCGGCCGCTGATTGGTCGAGGTGCGAGGCGTGGTCGCCGGAGCGCTCGCTGATTGGCCGCGGCGCGCGCGGCCCGGCGCGAGGGCAGTACCGCCCACGTGACGCGGGCGCGGGCCCGGAGCGGGCCCGGAGCGGCGGCGGCTCCGTCCCGTCCCGTCCCGTCCCGCCGGCGGTGAGTGAGGGCGGGCGGGCCCGGCCCCGGCGCTCCCCTCCGCCCCGCGGCCGCGCTCCCTGTGACCGAGCTTCCTTCCCGGGCCCCGCTTAGCCCTGGGCCCCTCTCGGCCACCGAGCCCCGCTCGGCCCGCGCCGGGGCCGCTGTCCCAGGGACAGCGCCGAGCGGGCCTCGGTGCAGCGGAGATCAGGCGGCCCGAGCGCAGCCCCGGCCCCGGGAGGGGCAGCACAGCCCGGTGTTTGTGCCCGGGGCTCCTGGGCCGCGTCAAAGCGACTCTGGCGGGCTCGTTGTTTCCCCGGTGCTGGATTTCCTTCAGCCCTTACAGATGGAGCGCTGTGGCGTGAGGAGAGAGAGCTGCAGTGGAGCTGGAGGGATAGCGAGGAACTCCCAGTGCTGCAGGGAAGACTGGTACAAGGACTGACTTCTTTCTTTCTTCCTTTCTTTCTTTCCTTTTTCTCTCTAACGATTGCAGCAAGCGCTCGCAGCGCGGCCCTTTGTCGCTTGCCGGGAAAGCTCCAAAAGCAAAGCACTTGTTCCGCTGTCAGTGTCCTCGGTGATCCGTGGTGAAACCCAGCGGCGCGGCCCGCCAGACCTTTCCTGCTGCAATGGGAACGATGCCGTGAGGGCTGGCAGGGCTGGGCCATAGCCATGACAGAGCCCCACCGGGTGTCGTTCACCACTCTGCACGGGCCCCTGAGCAGCAGCTTCCTCAAGAGGTCTCGCAAGGACGAGGCGGAGCAGCCCCCGGAGGCGGAGCCGGCGGCCACGGCCGTGCGCATCACCCTGACCCTCTTCGAGCCCGACCACAAACGCTGTCCTGAGTTCTTCTACCCAGATCTCCTCAAGAGCTGTCGGGGGAAAGTAAAAGGAGGTTCTTCAGGTGACAAGGTGAGTGTCCCTGGGGGGCTGGGGGAGCCTGGGTTGTAGCTGAAGGTCTCAAGGGTTCTGGGAGTTGGGTCTGTGTTTGCTGTGAGGTGGGAGGAGGGTGGGTGAGCGTCCTGCAGGCAGGAGAATTGACCCCCAGGCTGGGGTTCTTGTTGTCAGGCCACACCGTGTCACTCCTTTGCCCTGGCTGCATGTTGGTGTTGGGAGGGTGTTGTGCTGGTGGCAGGTGTGGCATGTGGTGCTCCTTCAGGTTGGAGTGGCTGGATCTAAAGTGAGTTTTGGTACCTGGGTGGCTGGCAGGGACAAAGAGCTGTTTTCCAAAGAGCACCAAAGGAGATATGAATGAAAACTCCTGTAGCATTGAAAGTTTGAGTTAGGAGTGTTTGTCTATGAAAAGAAACTTACTGGATTCTGTTCCTTTTACTGTTTGCCTTGAGGACTGTTAGCAGTCAGTTGATGTTTTATGCCACTTAATTTTGGGGTTTTTTTGAGGGTTGGGAGGAGCAGAGCAGGTAAAAAAGCAGAGCTAGGAGAGTACCCAAACCACAGGGACACTCTCAGAATCCCAGCATAGTTTGACTTGCAAAGGGCCTTAAAGCTCATCCCATTTCAGCTCCTGCCATGTCCAGGGACACCTCCCACTGTCCCAGGCTGCTCCAAGCCCCATCCAACCTGGCCTTGGGCACTGCCAGGGATCCAGGGGCAGCCACAGCTGCTCTGGGCACCCTGTGCCAGGGCCTGCCCACCCTGCCAGGGAACAATTCCTTCCCAATATCCCATCCATCCCTGCCCTCTGGCAGTGGGAGCCATTCCCTGTGTCCTGTCCCTCCATCCCTTGTCCCCAGTCCCTCTCCAGCTCTCCTGGAGCCCCTTTAGGCCCTGGCAGGGGCTCTGAGCTCTCCCTGGAGCCTTCTCCTCTCCAGGGGAGCACCCCCAGCTCTGCCAGCCTGGCCCAGAGCAGAGGGGCTCCAGCCCTTGGGGATCTCCCTGGGCTCCCCTGGACTCTCTCCAGCAGCTCCAGGTCCTGCTGTTGGCCCCAGGGCTGGAGCAGCTCTGCAGGTGGGGTCTCACCTGAGGGGGCAGAGGGGCAGAATCCCCCTCCTGCTGCCCATAGCAGGGCTCAGCCCAGCCCAGGGGGGTTTCTGGGTGCTCACAGCCAGGGCAGGTCCAGCTGTCACCCACCAACAGCCCAAATCCTTCTCCCAGGGCTGCTCTAAATCCCCTCATCTCCCAGCCTGGATCCTGGGGGTTCCAGGGCAGCACCAGCATTTGGCTTGGTTGAACCCCATGAGGTTCCCATGGTCCCAGCTCTCCAGCCTGCCCAGGTCCCTCTGGATGCCCTCCCATCCCTCAGGTGTGTCATGGGCTGGGTGGCATTCCAGCCCTGCTGAGAGTGCCCTGACCCCACTGTCCATGGCACTGATGAAGATGTTGATCAGCTCTGTCCTAAAGGTTGATTTATCTGAGCTTCTGCCCAGCTGCTCCAGTCAGGATGGGTTTAACTCCTGTGGTTTTGGTGGCAGTGTGACAGGATTGGCTGTCATTTTTTTACCCCTTTTGTTTCTGCAGAAGAAAGACCCAGCTGATCCCTTCAATGATGAGGAAAAGGAAAGGCATAAAGTGGAAGCTCTTGCTAGGAAGTTCGAAGAAAAATATGTAAGTGTTTCCTCTTTAAGTTATGTTATTCTTTGGGCTGGGCAGTGCTGTTCAGGTCTCAGGCAGTGCTTTTAATGCCCACTGGCTCTCAAGGTCCTGTTCTCCCCCAGTCCTTTATCCTGGCTGCCATGTGCTGTTTTTTATGTTCTTTTTCTGTCTCAGGGCTGCAAAAATAGTTCAGATTCATTTATAAATCAGATGAGTCTGATTGAAGCAAATTACATGAACTAAAGTGAGCAGCAAATCACTTACTGTGATTGATAAAATTGAGTTTTCCTTAAGCAAAAATGAATTCCTACGCCTTGTTGCTGTGGCAGGATGGAATGTTCCAGGTCTCTGAGCATGGGGCTGTGATGAGTGCACTGTCCTCAGGACACTGCTGCATGGATCTGTCTTACCCCTGCCTTTCTGTTCTTCCTTTTGCATTAGTTCTGTGGTTGGCACTAAAACCACACTGTGGTTTTTATACCCTTGGGCACTTTGGGGCTGCAAGTTGTGTGTTGTTTTGTGACACAGATTTGGCCCATGGGTCACCCTGACACACTCTGTGTGTGTTTGATGTCTGTAGTACTGAGTCTGTACCTGCTGGAGCACCTAGAGAAGAGCAAGCCCTATGGAAGAGAGCCCTGGCAGGAATGTTGGAGGGATGCACACCCAGTTCAGTGTGGGGTCTGGCTGGCAGTTTTTCATTTGGCTGCACTGTTTTGTTTCTGTTTGGCAAGGCTTCAAACTGGATTTACCACACCCCGGGAGTACTGTGTGATGGGAGCCAGCCTTGGTTTGGTTCTGCTGTAGCTTTTCTGTCCTGGAGCCAGTGTTGCTGCCCTGTGTCAGGGTATCTCCGTGGTCCTGGGAGAGAAAAGTGATCACAGTGTCCATGTTTCCTTGTCCAGGGTGCCAAGAGGCGCAGGAAGGACCGGATTCAGGATTTGATTGATATGGGGTATGGCTATGATGAGTCCGACTCCTTCATCGACAACTCGGAAGCTGTGAGTGCTGGGGGTGTGTGAGAGTGGCTAAAGGTGCTGCCTGGGAGGCTGAACCTGCACTGGGAGTGAGCCACGAGGCTGCCAGGGCCAGGGAATGAGAGCTGCTGGGGCAGCTGATGGCAGGGATGCTGTAGGCATTCCAGCCTGCTCCTGGGTGAGCACAATCTCCTCAGTCTCCTGACCATGGACAGCTCTTGAGGAGATGCCTGGAGCTGAGTCAGGGAGCTTTACGTGATGTATCAGGAAAAGGCTCTTCCCCAGGGCATGGTCAGGCATTGGAACAGCTTTCTCAGGGGTGTAACCACAGCACCAAGCCTGTGTGAGCTCCAGAGCATTTGGACAACGCTGTCAGGGATGCACAGTTGGGATTGTTGGGGTGTCTGTGCAGGGCCAGGAGTTGGACTCAGTCCTGATGGGTCCCTCAGCATGTTTTGTGATTCCATGAATCCCACTGCATCTTCCAAGCAGCTGAGCTGTGGAACGAAGTAAGCAAGGTCCCAATGCCAATAAAGTGTTCTCTGTTATTTCCAGTACGATGAGCTGGTTCCTGCCTCTCTCACTACCAAGTACGGAGGGTTTTACATCAACTCGGGAACGCTGCAGTTCCGGCAGGCCTCTGAGTCTGAGGATGACTATGTCAAAGAGAAGAAGAAGAAGTGTCCCAAGGTCAGGAAGGCAGCTTTCTCCATGATTCCCTCTGTTACAGCTCAGAGCTTGCTGCGTGGAAGTGTGTTAACATCGAGAGTGGGAGAGATTCGTGACTCGGTGTGGACAGAATAGGGATAGGCACTTGAAATCCCATTGTATCCTAAAATTTCTTAGTAAAATGAAGCATGTCTGGCATGGGTAAAACTCTGCTGGGGTTACCTGGCTACCTGGTTCCCAGAGAGAGGTGACAGCAGCTCCCTGTCACCCTGGAAGTCACAGCATTATGGGGATGCTGTCAAATGCTGAAGACAACATGTGCCAGAACCTTGGTGAGGGATGTAGGGGCATTGAGTTAATGAGTCTTGTGTTTTCACATTCCTGGGAGAGGTCCCAAGGTGGCTCTGGGAGTGCTGGTAATGTTGTGGGAGACTCTTTGATTGTGATTTGTTTTTAACCCTCTGCAGAAGCGGAAGTTGAAAGATGGGAGTGAAAAAATAAAGAAGAAGAAGAAGGATGATTCTTATGACAAGGAAAAGAAGTCGAAGAAGTCCAAGTTTCCAAAAGCTGGGTAAGGAGGGGAGGAGGGAATTCTTGCTGCTCAGCTCCTTGTTTCAGGCTTCTAGGTGGCTGCAGTAGGAGCCTGTTGCAGTGTGGGGTGGCTCGAATGCACATTGCAAACACCAGCACATTTTCCAAACCCCTGTTGTTTCCCAGGTGGGAAAGAAAGGCAGGGGATGATCAGGAAAGGAGCACAGCTCCACAGCAGCAGTGTGTGAGCAAAGAGGGGCACAGCTGGCTGCAGGAGTGGTGTTTTTGGAGCTCTGTTTAGGCACTGGCAGTGGGAACAGATATGGAGAAGAGAGAGCAAGATAAGAGCTGTTGGGATGAGGCTGTGGGAGGAAAGGCAGGTGGGAAGGGCTCGGGGTGCACGAGTGTGGGGCTGGCAGGGAGGGAGAGGTTACAAGGCAGGCTGTGTTACTGCTCTCTCTGGGCAGTCCTTTGTACTCCTGCCCAGAGTATTTCTTGGATGAGTGCTCAGCTCTTTTGTAGCTTGTGGGCTGTAAAATGGAGTGGTTTTTCTTTTTGTTCTGAGTCATCTCCTGCTGTAGTTCTGTCCATGTTTTGGTCTGCCTGGCCTGTCTCTTTCAGTATCTATATCTGTTGCTTTTCCATCAATTTCCTGTATTTTCTTCCTAAGTTTTTTCCTTCTTCCTTTAAGTATTGTTTATAATTTATTTTTTCCTGCATGGATCTGCTTTTGGGCAGCAGCAGCCCATGTGTCTGATGTGGTGTCACCAGTGTGTGATTCCTTCAAAATGAGCAAGGAAAGGAATTTGCTCTCCTGGTTTTAACACAGCAGAAAGCTTCACACTAGCTCTGTCCTGCCTCAGTTCCTCTGTACTAATTGTGCATTTCCCAACCTTCCTTGCTGGAATAACAATAATATCATGTAGCTGAATGCAAGCAGAGCTCTGTGGAGGTGGTTTAAGCCCCAGCACCTCTCTGCAGTGAGTCAGCTCTGAGCTGAGACGAACAGCCAGAACCTTAAGACTTTTAGAAGCTGTAAAATACTTTTTCTGGAATACTTTTTCAGGGAATTGTGCCTGAAGTGAACTGGGGGAGAGGGGACCCTGTCTGCTCCTTGATCTTGCATTTAGTTCCCTTTCCCCGTCTATACTTTGTTTGCAGCTTCACAGCATTAAATGCAAGTAAGGAGAAGAAGAAGAAGAAATACTCTGGAGCTCTCAGTGTCAAGGAGATGCTGAAGAAGTTCCAGAAGGAGAAGGATGCTCAGAAGAAAAAAGATGAGGAGCAGAAAGTGGTGACTCCTTCCCCAGCGGACCCTGCAGCCCCAAGGGAGGCAGAGGCCATGGCTGACCCTCTGCTGTCCCTCTTTGGCCACGCCAGTGACAGTGACCTGCTCCAGGCAGCCACAGCCATGGACTCCCTGAGCGAGCTGGACCTGGAGCGGCTCCTCAGCGAGTCCCCGGATGGCAGCCCCTTCCCTGAGGTGGAGGATGGCAGCGACCCTGGCTTGGAGCAGGAGTTCAAGCAGCCACCATCCCTCCCAGAAGGGCTGCCAGCCCCCCTGGAGAAAAGGATCAAGGAACTGGCTCAGGTACAGCAGCTCCTGGGGGCAGAGGGGCTGGTAGGGGGTCCAGCTGTGCTGAGAGTGTGTGTGTGTGACTGGAGGATCCAGCTGTGCTCTGTGTGTGTGTGACTGGAGGATCCAGCTGTGCTGTGTGTGTGTGTGACTGGAGGATCCAGCTGTGCTGTGTGTGTGTGTGACTGGAGGGTCCAGCTGTGCTCTGTGTGTGTATGACTGGAGGGTCCAGCTGTGCTGGGAGTGTGTGTGTGTGTGACTGGAGGATCCAGCTCTGCTGTGTGTGTGTGACTGGAGGATCCAGCTGTGCTGGGAGTGTGTGTGACTGGAGGGTCCAGCTGTGCTCTGTGTGTGTATGACTGGAGGATCCAGCTGTGCTCTTGTGTGTGTGTGACTGGAGGGTCCAGCTGTGCTCTGTGTGTGTGTGACTGGAGGGTCCAGCTGTGCTCTGTGTGTGACTGGAGGATCCAGCTGTGCTGGCAGTGTGTGTGTGTGACTGGAGGATCCAGCTGTGCTGGGAGCGTGTGTGTGTGTGACTGGAGGGTCCAGCTGTGCTGTGTGTGTGTATGTGTGACTGGAGGGTCCAGCTGTGCTCTGTGTGTGTGTGACTGGAGGATCCAACTGTGCTGGGAGTGTGTGTGTGTGACTGGAGGATCCAGCTGTGCTGTGTGTGTGTGACTGGAGGTTCCAACTCTGCTCTGTATGTGTGTGACTGGAGGATCCAGCTGTGCTGTGTGTGTGTGACTGGAGGTTCCAACTCTGCTCTGTATGTGTGTGACTGGAGGGTCCAGCTGTTCTCTGTGTGTGTGTGACTGGAGGATCCAGCTGTGCTCTGTGTGTGTGTGACTGGAGGGTCCAGCTGTGCTGTGTGTGTGTGACTGGAGGGTCCAGCTGTGCTGGCAGTGTGTGTGTGTGTGACTGGAGGATCCAGCTGTGCTGGGAGTGTGTGGCAGCACCCAGGGACAGAGCACATTCCCGTGGGGGAGCTTCTCTGATCCACTGGGATCACACCTTTGTGTCACTCAGTTTCCTCTGAGTGATATTCTTGAAGGGCCAGATGTCAAGTGATGTCCAAGTGCTGGACCTGGTTAGTCACTGAAAGTGACACTTGAGATCACATCTGATCATGATTCCTTCTTTACCCCTCTCACAAAAGTATGGACCTGATGCAAGAAGTAATTTCCAAAGTCAGTTTGACATGAGTGAAATGTGAATTACTGAGGTTGGAGGGCTGCTTTGGGCTGGGATAGAGGAAATTTTCTCCACAGTAGCTGTTTTGGGGCAGTTTTGAATTGTGCTGTAAAGAGAGCTGATAACCCAGGGATGTTTTTGTTACTGTTGAACAGGGAGTGCTCAGCCAGTGCCAAGACCTTTGCTGCTCCTCAGCCCACACTGCCAGTGAGGGGCCTGGGGGGCAGGAGGAGCTGGGAGGGGACACAGCCAGGACAGCTGATCCCAACAGGGGTGTCCCAGAGCAGGGGGGTCATGCTCAGCATATAAAGCTGGGGCAAGAAGAAGGAAAAGGGGGATGTTTGGAGTGATGGCAGTTGTTTTCCCACATGATATGTGTGCTGGAGCCCTGCTGTCCTGGGGATGGCTGAACACCTGCCTGTCCATGGGAAGTGGGGAATGAATTCCTTGTTTTGCTGTGCTTGCATGGCTCTTGCTTTCCCTGTTACACTGCCTTGTCTCAGCCCATGGGCTTTCTCACTTCTACCCTTGTGATTTCCTGCCCCATCCCACCTGGGGGAGGGAGCAGCAACTGTGTGGGGCTGAGTTACAGGCTGGGGTTAAACCATGACAAGGACAAATCCCACCATAATATTTTTAATGTGCTGTGCTGGTAAGGCCACTGAAGGGGTGCCCAGTGTTGTGTGTGTAAAATGAGAGGGTGCAGCTGGAAAGCATTGCCACAGTTCTACACTGGGAGAAGGCCTGGAAAGCCCTGTAGATGGGGCTGAGGATTTGCTAGAACTGTTTCCGTGTCACAGGCAGATCCTTTGCTGAAGCTTGGGTACCACTGGAGCTGCACCAATTTGGCAGTTGGAGTCCTTTTTAACATTTGGTTGTTGGGGTACCAACAGGGAGTAACAGATTTTTCACTTCTTTTCTGTCAAGGTCGGGATTAAATCACGAGATGGTATTTCTTGTTCAGACTCAGATGTTTATTAGCTCTTATCTATGTCACAGTCTCACAAACCCTGAGTTCTACATTATTTTGCTTTAACAAGGTATAAAATGGCTATGTATCTCTCTCTGCAAGACCTTTTAAGGATAAACTGTCCAATTAAGAAATGACACCTATATTATTTTTACTTTTAACCCAATAACCAACCACCCATGCCTGCAATGTGCCTTTTTTATCCAATTACACAAAACCACCCAAACCCGTGGAGAAGAAGGACTAGCCTCTGCCCTAAAACCTCCATCCTGCTTACTGTATTTATAGCCCTAAACTCTGAGTTTCCCACCAGGTAATATTACACACTTCTGTTCAAACTCCACACCCACAATCCCAGTGCCATCATTCCATTTTGGAAACTTCTCCACGGCAGAAGTTCTCTCCACCCATATGCAGAGTTCTCTTGGGGGTCAGTGCCTGGCAGCACAGAAAGTCTGAAATTCTCAGCAGCCAGGGTTCCAACAAGGGAGTGGAGCATATTAATGTCTAGAAGGATGATTTTATGTCTTTTCATCAGTAACTCCTCCTACAGCTGGGCTCCTGGGGGACTCACCCATCTTCTTCATAATGTGCTTTGGGAAACTGCAGTCTGTTTTGGAGAAGGAAAATATTGGGTGCTAGATCTGGGATCCCTTTCTGGCATGTCAAAGTGTGCTTGAGCTTTGTGGTGTGAGGGCTGTCACCATCAGCCTGTCAACAAATGCTGGGAGGTTTTGTTCCTGCTGCTGATGTGGTTTTAAACATTGATTTTAAGTCATAAACATGCCCTGTGGAGCTCTGCCTCCTGGGGCACTTCAGTTTAAAGCACCTCTTACTTAAGTGAGAGATGCTGAGTAACTCCTGTTACTGTAGATAAGCTGCTCTTAGAGAACTGTTCTGCTGAGTTGTGCAGTGGGGGTGATGAGGTGGGAGGAGAGGAGGAACTGAAACGAGTATTGCCACAGCTGATAAAAATAATGGGCTCTTGGTGGATGTTTCTGTTTCAAAAAGCACCAAAATAGCTGTTTGTAACTGTGAGTTAAAGGAGAATATTTTGGAAGTTCCATGGAAGATATCAGGTTAATTGTTATGGTGTTGTGAAACAGTTTAATAGCACAGTCCCCACTGATTTTCCTGCTTAGATTTTCTTGCTGCTGTGTCTCTTGTTGCTGGGTTGTGGGTGTTAAGAAAAGAGACAAACTGAAACCTCTGGGTTGGTTAGGACAGTGGGACATGAGCTCAGGTGGCAAGGAAGAGGTGCTGTGCCTCTGCCTGAGAGGCAAGTCTCTTCATCCCGGAGGTGGGAGCATCTCCTGAGTTAAATGGAGCCTCCAGGCATTTCCTTTGACTTTAACCCTCTCCTTCCTAAGTAATTTTCCTATTGAGGATTCTCCTTAGCATGGAGTCTTCTCCTTTGAGAAGACTCCTCACCTGCTGCTGGCAGGGAGGAATGTTCACCCTCTGGGCATAAATTACTTCTGAGTGATAAATCGTGGGATTTCAAAATCTTCTCCTGGTCTGCTTTCCCATGCAAGGAATCACTAACTCATGGTGGTGCCTTGTGCCAAATCCCAGTTCTGTTTATATCCCCACTCAGAAAAAAACTGAAAGCTCTTGGCAATTTGCTACTACCTCATTCATCTTTTGGAATTATTTTTCTGCTGGACATATTTTTCATGGGTGTGATGTTTTTGGGCAGCACTTTGTGAGCTGCAGTCATGGCTCAGGAAGCTTCCTGAACAGGACTTTTTTTTGTTTCCATGGTGTTGACTGGGAGTAACACATCCCCTGGGGCTGTGACTCTTCTCTCTTGGTGTCTTGGCTTAGTTCTCAGATTGATTTAGAAAACCTGGTGGTAATTCTCCTCAACCTTCCTTACTTGTGATGAGGATGAGCTTTCCTGGTCCAGGGACATGCTCTGTGCTCATATTCCACCATCTACTGAGAAGCTAAAACCATGTCCTGAAGCTGTTGTTGTCCCCATGGCAAATTTGCCAAAGAAGTCACCAAGCCACCTCCTTTGTCCCAGGAAACAGAGGACTCTTCACTCCAGAGTGGTAACTCCAGTGCATCTGGAGAGGAGAATCCAGACTGGGAAGGTCACCAGATGTGCAGGATGTGGTGTTACCAGGTCAGGCAGGGCTGGGCTTGAGCTGGGGAGGTTCACACTTCTGCTGTGACAGAGTTTATTTAATAAAACTGTGCCTTGTTTTGCAGTAGTTCTGTGGTGGTTTCGTAGACACCTGGTTGCTTGTGCCAGCTGTGAAGTGCTGATGATTTGTGTTATTTCCTGATTTCCAGGCTGCCAGAGCTGCTGAGGGAGAAGGCAAGCAGAGATTCTTCACTCAGGACATCAACAACATCATACTGGAGTAAGTGCTACCAAGCAGAGAGGTATGGGAAAGGAGAGCATTAGGCAGAGCATTTTTGGTAAACTCAGGAGCAGGTTCAGCAGGAATTGTGGGGTTGTCCTTGCACAGGTCTTCCAGGCAGAACATGCCCAGAATAAGATGAAAGTCTCCTATAAATGGCTTTCAGTTGAAATATGATGAGCTAGGAGAATGTTGGAGGGAATGTATCCAGGTCTCCTGTTCTCAAGATGCTGCCTCATATTTCTGTGCCTAAATTTGGTCATTAACCTGTGAGTTTAGCTTGATGCAAGACCAGTAAATATCTCCCTGTGAGAAATGTCAGGTATGTTTTTGCTACTTAACATGCTACGTAGAATTATTTATAACTGGGATAAGGCTGCTGTGCTCAACTGGTTCTCTGGGAAAACTGAAGGAATTCCATTCCTGCTCTGTGTTTTGAGGCCCCAAATTACAGAGTGCCAGTGTTGCTCAGGCAGCTGCAGATAATGGCTTCATTCTTCTGCCAGAGGCTGGAGAGGGCTGATGAATGCACAGGGTTTTGTGATCAGTGCAATAATACTGACACCCAGGCTTTAATTTTATTAAGGTTTATCCAGGCACTTGCAGGGAACTGCCAAGGGGAGTTTGGGACTCTGTTTCCCTCTCATTTCCAGGGCTGATTACCACCTTCCAGCATTCCAGTGTTGGCTGCACAAATAGTCCTTGTCTGATGTCAAACTGATCATTTCAGCCTCGTTCAGAGGAGATTTAGACAGATTTGTACAATTTTGCTGTACAACTGGGATCAGGGCAACCCCAGACATGAA